ACTTATATAGCGCTTTTCTGGACACTCCACTCAAAGAGCTTTACAGGTAATGGGGATCCCCTCCACCACCACCAGTGTGCAGCCCCACCTGGATGATGCGACGGCAGCCATAGTGCACCAGTATGCTCCCCACACACCAGCTCTCAGTGGGGAGGAGAGCAGAGTAATATAGCCAATTCATGGAGGGGGATTATTAGGAGGCCATGATTGGTAAGGACCAATGGGAAATTTGGCCAGGACACCGAGGTTACACCCCTACTCTTTTCGAGAAACGCTCTGGGATTTTTATTTTTTAATAAAATAAAGAGATGTATTTTGTAAGCGAAATAAACTCCCAGACGTGTGCCTGCATACACAATGCAGACTCCAATGAAGCAACTTCTTAGATCGAGTCGGCTTCAGTGGTGTGATGGAGGTGGGCTGGAATGCAAGCCCGCAGGTGTGGGGGTCACTGGACTGGGGGCAAGAGGCCCGGGGCTCGTGACTTGGCTGAAGCGCACGACCGAGCGACAAGGCTGCTCTCGCGGCCGGCTGGGCTGGGCGCTCATTTGCGCCCTACCATGAAGAAGCACACGGCTCTGCACACGGTAACCTAGCAATGTTGGCCCAGAGCTGCTTCACGATTAATGACCTGGCGCTCGAGAGGCGCAGTAGGTGCGCAGCGCAGGGCCGTTGAAAAGCTCTTGGTCAGCGCGCCGACGCCCCCGGGAGAAATGTGCTCGAATGTCACAGCGACCTGTCCGCGGAGATGCCCAACTGCAACGATCACTACTCCCCTGCGCTCAACAGCATTTCTCACCTTCGACCACTCTTCTACTGTGGCACGGGACCGTTCAGCCACGAGTGGAATAATCACGAAGGAAAGGGCGACGTGTTGGAGACAGCTGCGCGCCCATGATTACCCCGAAACAGTTTCATAAGACAAAACCCCCAACCCCACCCCCCCTTTTTTTTGGAGCATTTAGAAATGCACTTTCACTCTTTTAAAAACGAGATAAGATCTTTGCCAGCTACATTAATCCGGCTACAGGGCTGCGGGGGGAATTTCGCTTCGCAAACATTGCCTCGAGCTTGAGGAGCGAGGACTTCTTCAAGATGATGATAAACTGATCAGCATGATCAGTCAACGTCCCACTATATGATCTGCACTTGTGAACGAAATAGCAGTTGTTACAAGATAACGCATTAGTCAGTAACATTTCTGTGAAATCTATAAAACGATTGTTTCGTTTTGTGGATAAAACTTATTTGCCATTTTTAAGCTTAGTTTAAAACAAAGCTGATCCTGCCTTTCATAATAAACTCTTAATCGTTCCCTTTCTTGCAATAGACAATAAATGTGTTTCCTCCAGTACATGCAAATCTCACAGCAGAGGTAAGTTTCTGGATCCCCTGTCATGCCCGCTTTCCCATTACAGCCGACTCATTTTCTTAAGTCAAGCTCGGAGTTTGCTCTGGCCGGGAGCCCAGTCGACGCCCGTTCGGTTACTCCCTCCGGGGAACCGAGCAAGACGCGATCTGCGCTTCCAGCCCGGCCCTCGCGGCGAGGCTCGGGACCCGCCCTGCTGGGATCCGAAACAAAGGACTTCTTTAATTAATCACATCCTTGTTGGCCCTGGATCCGGGATTGGGAGTCACGGCAGGAGCTGGGTGACTGCTGGCAGAGGATCATGAGATTCCCACCTGTCCCTTTACAGCCCTGTAAAACCGTGCCGTGCGCACCAGCGCTGGGCGAATTCAAATAAATACATTTATACAGGAGCAAGACTTCGTGCTATATACTGAAATGTTGTTGTTTTTTTTTTTGCGCCATGTACAGAGCTCATATCAGGAACAGAAGAAGAATTACAAACGGGAATATGTCACTCGGCCGTCTAACCCGTTTTATAATTGAACTGAATTACAATATTGATGATTGATGAATACACAGACCCGTGCGAGCCCCACAAAACCGCTGCAATTACAGCACATTCCAAATGAGCGGTTTTTACAATTTAACGAGGGTACTTCTACGGTCACAGGTGAAAGCCAGCTACCTCAGCGTGTCATCGGAACACCGACTCAACCAATAACTGGATATAACGAACAGGCGGCGACATTTGCGATCTGTCACACAGGAAGTACAGAAATATATATTTTTATGATGTACTGCACATGTGCCAAACACAAAGCAAGAAGAGTCACATTCGAGAAAATTCTATATCAATGTTTTAAAACAACATATATAGAATTTCCTGACTAAAAAGTCCACAACCTTAAAGCCAAAGTTTTTCCTCAAATTCCACCTTGAAGACTCT